TTCCACGTCTCCATGGCCTTTGTCATCCCTGGGTCACGTGGCTTTATAATGTTCCATTTTCGTGATATGTACTCACTAAACCACTCCCTGAACATTGGCCATTTAGGGGACACCTTATTTTTGGCTCACACATCCCAGGTGTCTTTAAACAGAGAGCCTCTTGGCTGTTCTGAGTTCTTTCCTCAGACATTATGGATTAGAAGGTGTGAACGTCTTCACGGGTTTTGTTCCTTTTGACTTGGTGTCTATTTGGTGTGTCTCTGATGCCTTCTTGGCTCTCATAAAAGGACTCACGGTAGCTCGAGAAGTATGAGGAAAGTATGAGTGCACAGTAGTGAGGAAATGCAAGGAGAGAAGTGTGAGTTTGGGGTCCAGAAATGAATCCTGTAATGTCCTGCATGCAGGCTGCAGATGATTGTGGACTTGGCTTTGGCTTTCCAGCAGCCAAGGCAGGATCAGATCACTTACAAGATCCACAGTATCTGGGATTTATAAAACAGACATCAGGAACCCCAGAGACATTTTCCCCCTTGGTTGTCTTAAAGGGGACACTGTGTGTTATAGTAGACAGCTTTCCCAACTACATTTCTCAAAAAAAAGGGACACATTTTAGATAGCTTTTTAGAAACTGTGGTAAAATACACATAACATAAAATGTACCATCTTGACCTTTTTTTTTTTTTTTTGAGTATGAGTCTCATTCTGTAGCCCACCCTGGAGTGCAGTGAGTGGCACCCTACTCTTCCCCCTCAGCCTTCCAAGTAGTTGTAATTGCAGGCATGTGCCACCATGCCCAGCTAATTTTTTGATTTATCGTAGAGACGAGGTCTCGCCATGTTGCCCAGGGTGGTCTTGAACCCACTGGCTCAGGCAGTTATCTCACCTCGGCCTCCCAAAGTGCTGGAATTATAGGCGGCCCATTTTGACCATTTTTCAGTGGTGTTTAAGCTCAGTGGTATTACACTCGTAATGTGCATTCATCACCACTATCTATCTCCATGGCTCTTTTCATCTTGCAAAATTGAAACTCAGTACCTATTAAACAGTAGCTCCCCATTCTCCTCTCCTGCAACTCCTGACAACTACCGTTCTGTCTGTATTTTTTTTTTTTTTTTTGTGGAGAAAAGGTCTGCTATGTTGCCAGGCTGGTCTCGAACTCCTGGGCTCAACCAATCTGAGGAGATAATAATAAATGTAAGGAGTTTGTTACTTATATTAGCAGTATTGCTTCTATGAGTTTATAGATTAGTCCAGTGTAATTATAGGAGTTGTGGTTGCCGGTTGAAATTAAGGTATGTTGAGTAGAGTCGAGCTTGAACGCTTTCTTAATGGGTGGCTGCTTTTAAGCCAACTGGTCAAGATGGGCCGCCTGTAATTCCAGCAATTTGGGAGGCCAAGGCGAGATAATTGCCTGAGCCCGTGGGTTCAAGACCAGCCTGGGCAACATGACGAGACCTCGTCTCTACGATAAATCAAACTCCTTACCTTTCATATTTTCAGATTGTCCATCATTAGTGTCAAGAGATGCAAATGTTTCTGGTGTTGACTTTGTATCCTGCTACTTTGCTGATTTGGTTAGTTCTAATAGTTTGTGTAGTCTTTAGGGTTTTCTGTGTATAAGATCATATTATCTGTGAACAGAGATAATTTTCCTTCTTTTCAATTTGGATCCTTCTTATTTCTTTTTCTTGCCTAATTGCTCTATTTAGAACTTCTAGTACTATGTTGAATAGAAGTAGCAAAAGCAGGCATTCTTGCTTTTCTCCTGGTTTTTTTTGAGTCAGGGTCTCACTCTGTTGCCCAGGCTGGAATGCAGTGGCACACTCATGAGCACTGCAGCCTCGACCTGCTGGGCACTGGTGATCCTTCCGCCTCAGCCTTCCAAATAGCTGGAACTACAGGCACATACCACCATGCCCGGCTAACTTTTTTTTTTTTTTTGTAGAGATGAGGTCTCACCATGTTGTCCAGGCTGGTCTTGAACCCCTGGGCTCAGGTAATCCTCTCACCTCCACCTCCCAAAGTGCTGGGATTACAGGCATGAGCCATCATGCCCAGCCCCTCCTGCTCTGAGTCTCAGTCTGTCACTACTGAGTGTGTTTGTTATGAGGTTTTTTGAGACAAGGTCCCACTCTGTTGTCCAGCCAGATTGCAGTGGCACAATCATGGCTCCCCGCAGCCTCAACCTCCGGGGCTCAGGCAATCCTTCTGCCTCAGCCTCCTGAGTAACTGGGACTATAGGTGCGTACCACCACACCTGACTAATTTTTTTTTTTGTAGTGACATGGTCTTGCTATGTTACCCAGGCTAGTCTGCTATGAGTTTTTAATATAGGACTTTTATTATGTTGAATTTCCTTCTGTTCCTAGTATGCTGAGTGTTTTTAATCAGGAAAGGTTGTAAAATTTTGTTACATACATCAATTGAGATGATGTTTTTCTTCATTTTGTTAATGTGCTATATTCCATGAATTGATTTTCATATTTTGAATCATCCTTGCATTATAGAAATAAGTCCCACCTGGCTCTGGTGTATAATCTTTTTAATTTGCTGCAGAACTTGGCTTGCTAGTATTTTGTTGAGGATTTTTACATTAATGTTCATAAGAGATATTGGTCTTTGTAGGGTCTTTTTTTTTTTTTTTTTTTTGAGTCGGAGTCTCACTCTGTCACCCAGTCTAGAGTACAGCCTCAATCTGCTTGGCTGCAGTGATCCTTCCGCCTCAGCCTTCCAAATAGCTGGAACCACAGGCACACATGACCACACCTGGCTAATTGTTTTATTTATTGTAGAGACGAGGTCTTGCCAAGTTGCCCAGGCTGGCCTCAAACCCCTGGTCATAGGTGTGAGCCACCATGCCAGGCTTTGAATAGTGTCTTTACTGGCTTTGTTATCAGGGAGTGCCAGCAACAAAGAGTGAGTTAGAAAGTATTCCTCCCTCTTTAATTTTTTGGAAGTCTGAGAAGGATTGGCATTAATTCTTCTTTAAAAATTTGGTAGAATTCACTCATGAAATTATCAGGTCCAGGGCTTTTCTTTGTCAGGAGATTTTTTTTTTTAATTACTGATTCAAACTCCTTACTTGTTATAAGTCTATTTACATTTTCCATTTCTTTTTGATTTAGTCTTGATAGATCTTGTGTTTCTAGGAATTTGTCCATTTCATCTAGGTTATCCAATTTGTAGGTTATTCAATTTGTTGTTGATAACAAACTGGATAGCCTAGATGAAATGAACAAATCCTTTTTTATGTCTGTAGAATTGGGAGTAATGTCCCCACTTTCATTTTAGTAATTTGAGTCTTCTCTTTTTTCGTAGTCCATCTAGCTAGAGGTTTCTTAATTTTGTTGACCTTTTCTTTTTCTTTTTGAGTTGGAGTCTCACTCGGTCACCCAGACTGGAGTGCAGTGGCCGCTCCTGGCCACCGCAGCCTCGCCTGCTGGGCTCCAGCAATCCTTCCGCCTCAGCTTTCCAAGTAGCTGGAATTACAGGCATGTGCTACCATGCCCGGCTGATTTTTTGATTTATTGTAGAGATGAGGTCTTGCTGCCCAGGCGGGTCTCGAACCCGCGGGCTCAGGCAATCCACTCACCTCAGCCTTCCAAAGGCGCGGGATTATAGGCTGAGCCATCGAGCCCGGCCTTGTTGATCTTTTCAAAGAACCAACTTTTAGTTTCACTGATTTTCTCTACTGTTTTTCTATTTTGTTGATGTGTGTCCTATATGACTATTAAAAAAAAAAATTCAAGTCTCAGTGTAAACTGAGGACATAGCTTTTTCAGTGTGCGCATTTGGCACCTGAGACAGAGGGATCCCCAGCTTCTCCTTACCTTGTGTCTTTCCTCTGCTTGTGCTGGTGCTCTGTATCCCGGGGTGCACCATGGATGTCTGTGTGTCTGCCATCTGTGTCGTAAACCACGATGAGCCTACAGATGGCTTTGTAACAACCTGTGGAAAATCCTCTGTGGATTTGCTTGAAAGAATATTTCATACAAATGGCATCATGTGGCCTTTTGTGGCTAGAAAAACAGTGTTTTCTAGGCTCATGTGTGGCATAGTATGTATGAGTACTTCACTTCTCTTTAAGGCTGGGTAATATTCCACTGCCGGTATGCCCATCATTTTGTCTATCCTTTCATCTGTTGATGGATACCGACTTTTTCTGCCTTTTGCCTACTGTGCATAGTGCTGCTGTGAATATTTTGTTTGAACATCTACTTTCAGTTGTTTCGGGTGGGTGTATATCTTGTAACTTGTTTTTACAGCTTTTCTTTTTTTTTTGGATTGGAGTCTCACTCTGCTACACTCACTGGAATGTGGTGGCATACTCATGGCTACTGCAGCCTCGACCTGCTGGAGTCAAGCAATCCTTCTGCCTCAGCCTCTCAACTCCACCTCCCAAAGTGCTGGGATTATAGGTGTGAGCCACCACACCCTGCTTATTGCTTTTTTTTTTTTTAACATTTCTGCCATCTTCTTTCTTCCTCCAATCTTTACTTCATGAACATATAATGCTTTTTTTATTGAAAAAAGTACAAGCCGGCTCCTTGGCTCAGCCTGTAATCCTGCGCCTTTGGGAGGCTGAGGTGAGTGGACTGCCTGAGCCCGCGGGTTCGTGACCCGCCTGGGCAACTTGGCGAGACCTCGTCTCTACAATAAGTCAAAATGAGCTGGGCGTGGTAGCGTGCACCTGTAGTTCCAGCTACTTGGAAGGCTGAGGTGGAAGGATCACTGGAGCCCAGCAGGTCGAGGCTGCGGTGACCAGGAGTGGCCACTATACTCCAGTCTGGGTGACAGAGTGAGACTCCAACTCAAAAAAGAGAAAAAAGAAAAAAGTACAGCTTCTGTTTCTTCCTTGTGTTTGCCCAGGGCTGGACCCCTGCTCCAGAGAAATCGGGAAGTGGGGGTGGGCTACAGACAGGTGGGATGGACCACGCAGGGAGGCAGAGCCCTAGGCCCTGTTTTCAGTGATAAGTGATGTTTGCTTCTGCTTCCTGCAGAGAAGAAAGACCATGGGTTCGAGGTGGCCTCCACTTCCTCTGAAGACAGGGACTCTGGGAGCAACCCTGAGCCAGATGCTGCCCCGTTCCAGGAAGACTCGAGGACCTTGGACCAGCTGGATGCCACATCCTTTTTGCCTACTCCCAGTGACATCTTCGTGTCGTACTCCACCTTTCCAGGTGAGCACATGGGGGGAGGCGCATCCTCCCTGCCCTGGAGGCAGCTGTGGTGTGAAAGAAAAGATCTGGGTGTGAGTTGTGGCTCTGCTTTACCCCTGTGTGACCCTCAGCAATTTCTTCACCTCGTTGAGCCTCAGCTCAGACTGAAGCAGGCGAGGAGGTACAGGCCCTCTGGTGTGTGTGCGCCTCACCTGCCTCACCCTTGCCCCGACCCTGCCTCAGCCTTCGTGTCTTTAGAATGGGAACAGTCATCCTACCTCGGGGGCTGTCGTAGGGTTGAAACGAGGCAGCTGGCATGTCACCGAACCCAGTGCCCAGCATCTGGTAGGTGCGATTGTCCCTTGGGTGAGTTGCTTGACTTCTCTGAGCCTTGGCTTCTCACTGGGACAAGGAGGATCATAGCCAAGGTCAGGGGTCACCAGGGGAGATGGACTCAGGAATAGGGCGGAGTCGCAGGGTTGAGGGCTGCTCCTGCTGGACATGTCCGGGGCTGGAGGTCGCCTGCAACCTGTATGTGGGGAGGGGGCGACTCTCCACACAGTTCAGCCTTCCTCCCCTGAAGGTTTTGTCTCCTGGAGGGACACCAAGAGCGGCTCCTGGTATGTCGAGACCCTGGATGGAGTCTTTGAGCGCTGGGCTCACTGTGAAGACCTGCAGTCGCTCCTGCTTAGGGTGAGTGTTGCCTTTCTCTGCCAAGGAGGGAGTGGGGAAGCCTCTGACATGTCCTCCTAGGGGGGCGTGGGGAGGCACCAGGCCCAGAGCAGAGATAAGAGGTTAAGACTGTCCGCTCTGAACCTTGCTGACCATGAGATTTGGTGCTTTTGCGTCCTGAGAGGCATCCTGCCTGCAGTGACATTTGCCCTATTCAGTCCTCTCACCTTGGCCTCCCAAAGTGGTGAGATAACAGGCGTGAGCCACTGCGCCCAGCCGACATTTGCCCTACTCAAAGCGCTTCCTTCCTGTCTCCTCGGAGGTCCCAAGCTGACATCTCCACTGATAGAGCTGGGCCTCAGTGCCATGGTGGGATGGCTCCGTGGCCAGAGTCTGGCACCCCAAAGACAGGTCCTTGGGCCCCTCCCTGTACCCTTGGTGCCACAGTGCAGCCTTTACTCTTTTTTTTTTTGAGTTGGAGTCTCTGTTGCCCAGGCTAAAGTGCAGTGGCACGCTCCCGGCCACCGTAGCCTCGACCTGCTGGGCTCAGGTGATTCTTCTGCCTCAGCCTTCCAAGTAGCTGGAACCACAGATGTGCACCATGCCCAGCTAATTTTTTGGTTTTGGTTTATGTAGAGACAAGGTCTTGCGATATTGTCCAGGTTGCTCTTGAACCACTGAGCTCAGGCCATCCTCTTGTCTCAGACTCCCGAAGTGCTGAGATTAAAGGCGAGAGCCACTGCACCTGGCTCTTGACCCTCAAGAGTCATGAGTCCCTCTTGCATGCCCCCCAGGAGGCCCCAGTGAGGGAACAGATGGAAGCATGGCCTGATGGGGCCCAGCCCCTGCAGGAGACCCACTCAGAGCAGCTGCTTCATCAAGGGTCCCAGAGCCCCGGGGCTGCTTTGGGAAGTAGTATGTGAGGTTCCTCCTGTCCTGCCAGGTGTTGCGCCCGTCTTCACTCCTGTGAGGGTGGGGAGGACCTGGACCTGTGGATCACTGAACATAGCGTGTGGGGGAGAAGATAGGGAGGTGCTGGGTGGCCCCTGGCACAGCTCCTGGGCAGCCAGGTGCCACGACCTGGGGCAGGGGGCCCTGAGGCAGCCTGGCGTCACCAGGGTGGAGGCAGACAGGGTTCAACAGTGTGACTTTTCTCATGTCAACATTTCAGTTTGATTTGAACTTTGTGAATTTTGAGTTTTTGTTCATCAGAGTCTCACTCTGTTGCCCAGGCTGGAGTGCAGTGGCACAATCATGGCTCAGCTCAGCCTCTACCTCCTGGGCTCAGGTGATCCTTCTGCTTCAGCCTCTCAAGGAGTGGGGACTACAGGTGTGCACCACCATGCCTGGCTAATTGTTTGTAGAGACGAGGTCTTGCTATGTTGCCCAGGCTGGTCTCAAACTCCTGAGCACAAGTGATCTTCCCACCTTGGCCTTCCAAAGTGTTGGGATTACAGATGTGAGCCACTGCGCCTGGTCCCAAATTTTGAGTTTTTAAAACTTACAGTTGAGCTGCTTATTTTTTAAGCCCTCTGCTCAAAGAGGCTGCAGGTTGAGCTGTTTTTCAAGTGAACTTAGTGGACATTTCCAGTCCCTCTTTTGAATTCTTTGTCGAGAGAACTGAACTCACTGACCTCCCTGTGGTTGTGTTTTCACAGGTCGCAAACGCTGTGTCGGTGAAAGGAATTTACAAACAGATGCCTGGCTGTTTTAATTTCCTCCGGAAAAAACTTTTCTTTAAAATATAGTGAAGGCAGGGCCCTTCATGCTGCTTTATCTTGTACCCCAGAAACTTCCTGCTTCAGGCCTGGAGAGGCCGGACTTTCCTACAACTCAAGGACTCTGCAACTCGCACAGGGTCCCTTCCTGCCCCACCAGTGACAGACAAGCTCTTGGCACTTCCAGATTGGAGTCAGGTGTCAAGCATTGGAAGAAGAGGGACAGAAGAAGGCTGTGGATACCATGTGTCCTCTTCACCAGCTCACAGCTGTGGCCTGTAGCCCCATGTTTTCTCCAGAGCAGGGATTTGCTCCTCACTACTGACATGTGTGGTCAAGTCATCCTTTGCTGGGGACTGTCCTGTGCATTGTGGGGTGTTTAATCGCCATCCCTGGTCCCCATCCACTCAATGCTGGCACCTCTCCTGAGCATTGGCTGCCAAAAATGTCATCAGACATTGCCAAATATGCCTTAGGGGACAAAACTGCCCCCACTTGAGAACGCTTTTTGGCTACAAACCAACCAGCATCTCTCTTAGCTCAGCAAGCTGGGACTTACCGGAGCCTGGACAGCTAGAATCTGTGGATTCTAAATGAAGTTTAAAAATTGTTCACTTTTCCTGTATTGCATTTTTTTTTTTTGAGTTGGAGTTTCACTCTGTCACCCAGACTGCAGTGCAGTGGCCGCTCCCGGTCACCGCAGCCTTGACCTGCTGGGCTCTGGCGATCCTTCCGCCTCAGCCTTCCTAGTAGCCGGAATTACAGGTGCGTGCTACCACGCCCGGCTAATTTTTTGATTTATTGTAGAGATGAGGTCTCGCCTGCCCAGGCAGGTCTCGAACCCGCAGGCTCAGGCAGTCCACTCACCTCAGCCTCCCAAAGGCGCGGGATTACAGGCTGAGCCACTGAGCCCGGCTATTGCATTTTTCTTAAAAAATAAATCTTAGGCAAATATGGACGCCCTTTACCTAGTACCTCCTGTGTTTGGCTCCAGCTCATTGTTTTGCCTTATAAAGGGAGGCTTATTTTTGTTCAAAACACTTTCTCGAGTCTTTTCAGGGTTTTGCTATGTTGTCCAGGATGGCCAAGTAGATGGAACTACAGGCACACTGTGCCAGGCCTCATTCCTCCACATCTTACTTCACTTCATCCTGTCCCATCCCATGAAGGTGACGGGGTGGGGACCATGTGCTCAGGGAGGTTAAGTCTCTTGTTCCAGGGAACAGTTAATCTGGTGGAGAGACCTGGCTGAAACATGGAACCTGTGCCTCCTGCGTCTCTTACTTGCTGAAGAATCCCCTGGACTGCAGTGTGACTGTGCTGTGCAAAGGTGACATGTTGGGCTTCCCAGAGAAGGCCCCGTTCCTGAGGTCTTTCAAGCTGTCCTGATTCCAGCCTGTTTCTCCTAATTTTTTCAAATTGAGATCTTACCCTGTTGCCCAGGCTGGAGTGCAGTGGCACAATCACGCCTCACCGCAGCCTCAACCGCTGGGCTCAAGCATTTTTTCCTCCACAGCCTCCTGAGTAGCTGGGACTACAAGTGAATGCCACCATGCCCTACTAATTTTTTTTTTTGGTAGACACCAGTTCTCACTATGTTGCCTAGGCTGGTCTCGAACTCCTAGGCTCAAGAAATCCTTCTGTCTCAGCCTCCCAAAGTGCTGGGATTATAGGAGTGAGCCACCGCACCCAGCCTGTTTCTTGTTTCTAAAGCCCTGGGTGTTAGGATGATTTGCTAATAAGACTCTAACCAAGAGGCAATTCATGTAGTTATTACTTTATTATAATATTATTCCTACTTTGATTTTTCTAAGCCTGAGACAGACCCAGGGACTTCTGCTGGTTAGTTATTTGCCATCACCTGCAAGACACACAAGAAAATAGTCAGTTCACCCAAGCAGAGCCATGCTTGGCAGTTTTCCGTCTTTGTCCTTCCAGGCTACGATACTCATGTGAACCACAAGCAGCCCATGTCGCAGTAGCACATGGGCTGCTGAGGAGGCTGAGGGGTTCTGTTGATGTTTGGGAGAAAAAGATGTGACCAAAGCTTTCCTCTGACCTGTTAGTGTTTCCCCGTAAAGAGAGATCCTGGAGTCCTGTTTGGGCTTCGGGGGGCAGGGGTGGGGTGGGGAGGGGAGGGCCTGTGAATCCCTAGAAATTATATGTCAAATATGTGTTTCGTTTTTGGGTTTTTTTGAGCTGGAGTCCACTCTGTTGCCCAGAATGGAATGCAGTGGCCGCTCCCAGCCACCGCAGCCTCAACCGGCTGGGCTCTGGAGATCCTGCCTCAGCCTTCCAAGTAGCTAGAACTACAGACACGCACTACCACGCCTGGCTAATTTTTGATTTATTGTAGAGATGAGGTCTTGCCGAGTTGCCCGGGCAGGACTTGAAGCCGTGGGCTCAGGCAATCCACTCACCTCGGCCTCCCAAAGTGGTGGGATTACAGGCTGAGCCACCGAGCCCGGCTATATGCCAAATATGTGGATGGGCATGTTTTTAGATTCCATTTGTTTCTCGAATCAAAACTGCTGCTTGTGAGAAACTGTCATGTGCTGTGGCTGGGCCTTAACATGTTTTCAGAGGCTGCTTCGCCGTTCTCAAACATTTTAATATCCCAGCTTCGCGATCCAGCTTACAGCACAGAAACTCGGACCAGTGTGCCAGGGTTAGGTCCAAGGATATTCGCTGCAGCAATGTGAGAGTGAAAACCAGGAAACAGCGAAGGCTTTATTCATTATATTCATCCCAGGGGATATTCAAAAGAATGACCTGTAAAACGTGAAAGGGTGTTAAGTGAAAAAACTAAGTTGCAGAACAGTGTGGAGAATTAGGGCCTATTTTTTAGCTAGGAGGAAGGCAGTGTGGGTATGTGTGTGTGTGCACGTGTGTTTTTTTTGAGTCGGAGTCTTGCTCTCTTGCCCAGGCTAGAGGGCAGTGGCACGATCATGCAGCCTTCACCTCCTGGGTTCAGGCAATCCTTCTACCACAGCCTCCCAAATAGCTGGGACTACAGGTGCATACCACCATGCCCAGCTATTAAAAAATTTTTTTTTTGTAGACATGACATCTCATGTTGCCCAGGCTGGTCTTAAACTCCTGGGCTCAAACGATCCTCCGGCCTCAGCCTCCCAAAGTGTTGGAACTACAGGCACAAGCCACATCGCCCAGTCCTTGACAGGTATTTTATACATGCACATAAAATCTGGAAAGGCCACACACCAAACTGCTGACAATGATTACCTCCAGAGGGTGGAATTGGAGATGTAAGATGAGGGG